TCTCCTCGTCCGCCATCTTCCCTCCTGCCGCAGCGTCCGCCGCTCCGCCTCCGCCGCGCCGCCTGTATCGCCCGCGCCCGCCCACCACCCCTGCCGATTGGCTGGGCCCGTCTCGCAACGGGGCCTGGCGACGACACTCATTCGGCACCCCAACCGTTCGGACTGGCTCTCTGGCTTCCTATTGAGCAAAAACGGAGTGGGCAGGACCTCCCACAGTTTTTGCCTGGGCCCTGCCCCCGGCAGGCCTCACCCGGACCCCGCCCTCTTCCTTTCCTCAGCCCCTTCAGTGGTGGGAAAAAGACGCGAGCCCGCCTTCTCAACGCTCTTTGGCGAGCTTCAAAGAAGTTCCGGCCCCTCCTTTACGGCCTTCGCCCGAAAGCCCATCCAATTGGCTACTGCAGCGGCAATTCCCTCCTTCCTAAGCCTTACCCGGAGGTCCGCAGCCCCCTATGCGGAAGTGTCTGGCTTGTGTGGAAGAAACCGCAGCCGAGGTGGTTCTTGGAAGAGGCGGGGCTGCCCTGCTGTTGCCATAGCAACCCAGTTACCTTGGCGATGAACAGCTAAGAACCCTGGGGCCTAAATTTGGCTTCTTCATCCTCCCTCTCCCCACCTGTTTCCTCCAGATGTCCAAAGCTAGTCCACCCCCTTTTAATTTTTTATCCAATTCCCTACGTAACTGACCCAAACACCTGCTTCCTTTGGAATCTACTTTATTCCCTCTCAGTCTGGCTCCTGCCTCAGTCCTGGTTGACTGGTAGGTGTTGACACTGCAATTCAGATGGGGACACAGGGGGTGGCGGGAGTGGGAGAATGGTGAGCTCAGTTTGATCCAATTTAAAATTAAGTGTGTGTCACTAGTAGGACACTTGAAAAGATGGTTGGAGACCTACAGCTGGAGATAGATGTGGGAGTCAAAACACCAACAGGGAGCAGTTCTATTGCAGTTCATCTATAAAGGTCTACGTAGCATAGACCCTTATGTAACTGTTAAAAAGAATTGAGGTGCAGTGACATGAAACACAGGGAAACATGTCTATAATAAATTATAGAGGCAGGATGAGGTAGAAGATTAAGAGCATTTAGGAGCCACATTGCTTTGGGTTCAAAGCCTGGCTCTACCATTTGCTATGACCTTGAACAAATTGCTTAACCTCTGCATTTCAGCTTCTCCATCTGCAAAAAGAGGAAATATCTCAAACACCTTTGCTTTAAGATTACATGAATTAATGTACATAAAGTACTCAAAAACAGTGTTTGGTCCATAGGAGGGATATGTGTTGCTAGGTGAAAAAAAAGCAAGTCATAGTAAAGCGTAGCAATTATAGTATGTATGAAAGCAAAACAAAACCAGAAAAATCAACAAATAGAAATTAAAAGAATGACATCACTTACAGAAAGATATCAAAGCTTTAAAAAGGTCTTAAAAAGCAAACTGCTTACTCAGCCATAAAAAGGAATAAAATAATGCCATCTGCAGCAACATGGATGGACCTGGAGATCGTCATTTTAAATAAAGTAATTTAGAATGAGAAAGAAAAATACCATATGATATCATTCATATGTGGAATCTAAAAAAAAGATACAAATGAACTTATTTACAAAACAGAAACAGACTCACAGACATAAAAAACAAACTTATAGTCATCAGGGGGGAAAGCGGATGGGAAGGGATAAACTGGGAGTTTGAGATTTGCAAATACGACTATATATAAAATAGAGAAACAACAAATTTCTTCTGTATAGCACAGGGAACTATATTCAATGTCTTGCAGTAACCTAAAATGAAAAAGAGTATAAAAACAAATATATATGTATCTGTTGGACTGAAACATTATGCTATATACCAGAAACTGACACATTATAACTGACTATACTTCGATTAAAAAAAAGCTGCTGAACGGTATTAGAGTATGTATAATTATCTCAATTGTGTAAAAACTAGTTTTACATCACAGAAATTTTCTGTATTTATTCAAATATGTAAATGACTAACACAGGTGATGCAGGTGAAGAAGGAACTCAAGGTCTAATATAACATTTTGATTCTTTCTTACAAGCACATATTAACATAATAATCCTTTTTAAAAGATAATTTTAGACTTAGAGGAGAGCTGCAAAAGTAGTATAGTTTTCAATGCCCTTCACCCAGCCTTCCCTTATAGTAACATCTTACATAACAGAACAGAGGTTCTCAACCAGTGGTGATTTTGATCCCCAGGGGACATCTGCCAATGTCTTGACACTTTTGGTCATCACAAATGGAGGAAGGGAGATGCTCCTGGCATTTAGTGGGTGGAAGCCGAAGATGTTGCTGAATATCCTATAACGCACAGCCCCCACAGCAATTATCCACCCAAAACGTCAACAGCGCCAAACTGAGAAATTCTGCCACAGAACAATGATCGAAACTAAGAAATCCTCGTTGATACACTACTATTAACTAAACTAAGACTTTAAAGGAATTTTCCCAGTTTTCCCACTAATATCCTTTTTATGTTCCAGAATCCACACTGTCATATCTTCTTAGTTTCCTCCAATATGTGACAATTTCTAGGTCTTTCCTCATCTTTCCTGATCTTGATACTTTTGAAGAGCAGAATGTCTCTCATTTGGATGTTTGGGCACGTTGGCGTTTATCTGCTGTCTTCTCCTGATTAGACTGAGGTTATGCATGATTGGGAAGGATACCACAGAGATGACGTGCCCTTCACCAAGTGATCAGTAACGTTGCAATGCTTTACTGGTTAGGGTACCTATTGCTGCATAACGTATTACCCCATGATTCAGTGTTTTAACACTTAACATCTCATGGGTCAGGAATCCAGGCACAGTTTAGCTGGGGCCAGCAGCGGCAGCTGTGGCCTCATCTGAAGGCTTGACTGGACAGGGATCTCCTTATAAGCTCCCTCACATGGTTGCTGGCAGGACTCAAATTGCTAATAGGATACTGGACTGAGGACTACAGTTCCTTGCTGGCTATTGGCTTAGGGTCTCGCCAGAAGGCAGCTCACAACATGGCATCCAGCTTTCATTAATGAGTAAGACACCAAGACAGAAGCCACAGTCTCTTTGCAACCTAATTTCAGCAGTGATATCTCATCACTTCTGCCATATTCTATCTGTTGTGATAGTTTTGATCACTTGCTTAAGGTAGTATCTGAACTCATTATTTTCCCCTTTGTGATGAATATATACTTTCAGGGAAGATACTTTTGAGATTGTGCAAATATCCTACTTCTGCTTAAGTTTTACCCCCCAATTTTTAGCATCTGTTAGTGCATTCTGCCTACAGCAGTTATTACTATGGTGATGCAATGGTGGGTGATTTCTTATTTCCCTCTTTCCTTCTACAATTAAGTGGAATTCTTTTGTAATGAAGAGTTGTCCCTTCTCCCCCAACCATTTACATAGTCACTTGTTTATTTTTATGATCATGCACTCAAGGATATTTATTTTGGGGGTTACAGTCTAATATTACTGTTATTTTGTTGCTTCCATCCTTTTTATTTGAGCACTTCCTACTTCCTGGTACAAAAGATGCTGCAGGTTCAGCTTGTATGTTCCCTGCCCTAGCTCTGGAACCAATTATTTCTCCTAGAAGCCCTGGTTCCTTTTATTGGAGACAATTTAGAAACCAAGATCTGGGTGCTTGGTGTGCTCATTGATACTGAGGTGTCCCTGCTTCTGGTCCCTCTAAGTGGATGAAGCAAGGAAACATACATATATATGCACACATCTGTATTTCTGCACGTGTCTGTCTATATATTAAACAAAACCAGTGACACATTAGCTAACACTCAATTATGAAATCTAAAACAAAAACAAAGACAAAAAAACCTCATGAGTGCATACTGATGCCTCCAACTCTAATCCAGCTCCACAGGGTTCATTCTAACCAACTCCTACCGCACCCTCTCCTGGTTTTATTTGTAACTTCTTTCTCCACCAGTGAGACACCTGGCTCTAATTATCTACAATGTATTTATCCAATCCTGTGTATGTACACACGAACAAAACTAGTTTCAGAATTGCTAAATCACACCACTGTGAGGAACATATTTACCAACTGGAGTACAGTGTTTCTGTGTAATTCTTTTTGTCTTTTGCCTTACAGTATCGGGGGAAAATACTCTTTCCTCTAAGTTATTTAGGTCAGTTCCTTTCTTCCCCACCCCCTTCAGTGTGGTCATGTGATTCCCTTGTAATACAGGCAGATTCATTTGACAGCCTGCATTCCATCTTTCTCCCTACATCCTGGTTGACAATTGCTGAGTCCTGCAGCCACCACATAGTTCTAAAAAGGGCAGTTCCATCACCACAAAAATCCTTCCACACCCTTTTATGTTTAAAAAAAAAAAGGCAAAACAAATAAAAATCAGAAAAATACTACCTAAAAAGAATGAGACAGGTAATCTATACAGAAAGATAAAAAATAAACCATAAAAAAGCAAACTGCTGAATGGTACATGACTATTACAGAGTGTATAATTATTCCAACTGTGTGACTGTATGAAAACCATAGGTCGTATTTTGGAAAATTTCTGGAGTCACTCCAATCTGTTGACTGCTGCTGTTGGAAGGGGTGGTATGAAAATAAGGAAATTAATTTTTAGTAGAAATCTGGATTTTGTAACAAGCAGATATCAACACAGTCATCTTTTAAAAACAAATGGAAGTTTACATAAATACATTGAAAAACACCTGACCTCGAAAGAGAGAATGGGGCCAGTGGTGGGATTTTACTGTTGGCCTGTACTTATCTATGCTGATTTGAAAACAAGGACACACCTTGTCAAGGTTGTTGTGTAATTAAAAAAAAAATTGTTGGGTTCGTTTTTTAAGCAGACAGGTGAGGAGATTGAGCTCTGAGCTTTAAGAGTAGGGAGAGCCGGGTACCAGGAAAGACATTTGCGACATGTCAGGAGGAAGCACAGTCCTAGGGACCCAAGGGAAGCTAAGGGGGCGGGTTGAGAGGAGGTTAATGGAGACCAAGGAGAGACCATCCTTAATGGACCACAAGTCAGCATCCCAGGTAGCCCACAGGTCTGAATCCCAAGACAGTTGGTGGCAAAAGGAAGACAGAAGACTGGGTGGAGCTTGGGGGGGGAAGAGGAGGGGCAGTGGGCTAGACTTGAATGTGGTGGTTAAGTACTGAGGAGGATCAGCCAGGTCAACGTTAGAGAGGGGAGAAGGGATGGGGCAAGGTTCTGAGTGAAATTCTCAAGACAGCTCCAGGATGTGGCTCTGGGAAAGGACAGGGCCAAGTTCAACCCCAGGATCTGTGGCCAGGAGAACAGAGATGGGGTGTTTGGTGTCCTGTCTACTCACACCTGAGGAAAGACGGCTGGAGACAGCTAATAATGCCAGGCATTTCTGCTGCTTTAACAGTATAATCTTATCCAGATGTGGGTGCCATCATGGTCCCACTGCTAATGATCAAAATTCAAACCCAGTTGTCTGATTTTTGAGGCTGGGTTCTTATAGCCTATACCACACTGTTTCACACTGTCCACTAGGATTTCATAAGTGCCAGGAACTGCGGCTGCTTCACCATGCTTTCTCTCATCTTCACAATACACCAATGAAGTAAAAATGATCAATTCCAGTTTGGATAGGAAATGAAGGTTAAGTAACTTATGCAAGGTCATAGTTCATGGCAGAGCTGGGATTCTACCCACAATGTGTTTGAATCCAAACCTGTATTCCTACCTACATCTACTGTCCTTACCCAGAGGCCTCTTGATTTACCAGGGTGACAATAATCCCAGGATCTCTTGACCTTCAGAGACACATGGCAAACCCCAGAGCTCTGATCTTCCACTCAGGCTCCCAGTCTACTGGCTGACTCTTCCCTCATTGATCCAGTCAGTCTTGAACTCATTATCTGCAGCTGGGTACTGAGAATATGGTGACAGCCAAACACCAACCCTCCCCTCAAGAGACAGCCCTCATTCAAAGATGACAGCAATGAAGCAGGCTCCAAGTTTTTATTAACATGAGTTTTTAAAAACAAGCATCCATACTAGCATGGGGGAGTGGGGATGGGAGAAGAGAGGAGGCCACAGGGGAGCAGGAGGAAGGAATTCTGCTCTACTGGTAATAAAGCTCCAGGTTCATCCCATCATGGATTTCATCTGAGGTGAAGGTGTTAAGGAATCCTCACTGTGGGCTCTATCCCCACCCTCTCATCTCTCACCGATGGGTCAGGGCGGCCACATTTTGAACTGGCTCATTTCAATTTGGAAAGAACCCAAACTTTAATTGAAAAGAAAAAAGTTCGTGCTCTTTTTGTACAACAGACATGCAAGAGTCTCACTCCACCCTGACCTGCTGTCCACACACAGTTGGAGCTCAGTAATAAAGATTTTGACTGTAATGTGTCCAAGTCTTATAAGCCAAATCAAAATATTTCACCAACCACCCTCCTCCCTTAACAAAACTACATAGCTCCCATTTTCTGAATACCTACCATGTGCCACATACTAAGTTAAACATATGTGCGTAACGTCATATAGACTACACTATTCAACAAAGAGAACCAAGTCTGGGTGTGCAGACCCTTCCTCAAGAAGTCACACAAAGGATACAGTCCCCCAGAGACACGTGGTCCTTAAAAATCGTGTACCTATGGGATAAAAACTTTTCAGAACTTCTGCCTAAGCAAAAGGCTGGCTGCTGCGCTTCCCCAAACCGAAAGCTTTTGGCCTCCTCCTGTCCAGAAGCCAGCTCCACCACTGTACTCACCACTTCTTCAATACGATCTTGTTCCAGCGGGTGCCAGTTTGGGCTGCAATCAGCTTCTTAAGGTCCCCGATGGTGTCATCAGTGCTGGGCGCAGAGGGGTTAAGGAAAACGGAAGGGGAGAGGGTGGGTGGAGCACGGACGAGGACATTCTAGGGCTGAATGCACTCTGCCAGGACCCCATCTCCCCACCACCCTCCGGTTTAACAAAAATCACCCTGCAACAAGGGCTGAGTTGCCTGCTTCATATCAAGCACCCCCAGGAAACCACTGCCTCTCGACCGCCAGTGGATACTTGCACTTAACTCGGACCTTCTTCCCCAGACGGTCGTTGCAAACAACCTCGATCATCCTGTCTGGAGCGACAAAGGGTGGGTGTCGGTAGGTAGCAGAATCAGGAATTCAAGGGTCCGCTAGGCCCCAACACCTCCGGTTATTGAGTCTTACGTTCACGCCCTCCGCAGTCCCCCATATCTGAATACTCCTGGTCCCCAAGTCCCATGTCCCAGGACCTCGAACCTCAGGCGGCTGCAGACCCCAGGCAACCGCACTTACCTCCCCCCCGCCCCCGCCCCCAGCCCCTCCCGGCTTTAGGCAGCCTGAAGGCCCAGCTTCGCCTCTCGAAGGGCCGTGGATCCTCAATGGCCGGGTCCCATTAGCTTTCCCCAACTCCGGACCTCTCCACTTGGCCCCCTTACCTCGAATCGCTGGGAACCAGCCGACACCACAACCTCCTCGCTTGAAGGCAGAGCCGGGGCAAGAGTCAACGCTAAACACCGGAAGCGGAAGTGCGTAGCCGGAAGTTCCGCCCCCCGCTCCTCCCAGTGCGGGTAAATACCCCGCGGAGTTTGCAGCCGCAGGCTGGGCGTGGGCTTGCGAACCAGGAGCCGCCTAGGAGTCTCGAACCTGGGCAGGGGGATACCTGCGGAGGGGGCGTGGAGCGGAGTGACGGTCCCGGCTCGTGCGGGGCAGGGGCGTGGAGAGTCAGAGGTCAGGGGCCGGCGCCCAGCCGTTTGAATGCCGTTGGTCGAAGGCCCTTGGCTGTGCCGAGATGCCCCCTGGTGTGGCATCTGGTGGGGATGCTAGGGGCGCTCGGGAGACATCCAAGGGGAGCGGGGATGACCTCCCGTTCCTGGGCCCGAGGAAGCCTCTAACTGCAGATTCAGGGCTACGGGGAGCCTGGTCGAGTCCTGCAGTTATCCTGTCCGACCGTCTGCCTTCATTCAGAGCTGGGCCTCGGAAGCGTTTTGCTCACCTCTTCCCACCGGCTATCGCGCCTGCCCCCGCCTCCCCGGGACATCTGGGGTGCAGACTACAGTCAATAACCGAAGAAGCCTCCTAATCTTGGCCTGGATACCAGCACTTACGAGAACGGAGTTCACGTTGCAAGCCAAATTTGCAGCACTGATGACAAAGCTGGAAACTGCACAGATGCAAAATCTCCCAGGTCTGTATCTTCAAGGGAAGTCGCTCCCGGCCTGCAGAGGGCACTGTATACCAGCTCCTAACCTTACCTTACAGCCCCAAAGCAGCCGCCGGACTGGTCTGGTTCCTCAGGGCTGCTGTAACAGGGGACACCCCTCCCTAACAGTTGGAACTAACTGTTGAACTGTTCCTTCTCAGCAGACAGGAGTCTCCTAGTTTAGTGAGCCTAAAAGGATTCAGTCTGAAAAGGGGCCACTACTTCTGATTCACCCCATCCACCTTTTCAAACTAGGATGTGAGATTAGGTGGAAGACATGAGAGGCCATACTGGGGAAAGGGCAGATGCTCTGTAACCCTGTCAACGCTGCCCTGCCTTAGGGAACCGGCCCAGGAAGTCCCACATCAAGTGCTGGACTCAGGGGCCTTCCTGCCTCAGAACTTTGCAGAATCCCTGAACCCTACAGAATCCCTCTGAGTGGGCATTAGAGGTCAGGGGATCTGAATGGAAGGCTTAGTCAGATTGGAGACCCAGGCTTTCGATCTAGACAGATGAGTCAAAGCCCCAACCTCACCCCTTAATTTTTTTTCACCCCTTAATATTAAGCTGTGTGGTCTCAACACTTACCTTCTCTGATTCTCATTTGACTCATCTATGGAAAGGCGATAGCAGTCCCCACCCTAGGATGGCAGTAAGGATTGGTCTTGGACCATCCCCTGACAGTCCTCTTGCAGAAGAACAGATGAGGCAAGAGGGAAGATGGGAAGGTCAAGGGGGAGCTTGAGGGGACTGACGTGCCTGAGGAAGTTTGGAAGGAGCACCTCTGCATTCACATGGAAATACTGGGGCACACCAGATGTTGATGGTGGTTACCACTAGGTGGTGGAATTGCTGAGTCTTATGTTCCTCTTTGGTGCCTTTTGGGGATTTTCCCAGATGGTTTACAATGAACATACTTTTGTAATTAGAGGGAAAAGTAAATGTTATTTTTTATTAAAACAAGGAGTTTGAACTTCTCCATGTTGGATTAAAAGGTAGCTCAAACACAGGATCATGATGCTGAGTTATGGGCTGGGGGAAATGGGAAAAGGGTGAGGAGTGCCGCTGAAAGGGAAGGAAAATAAAGTCTGGGGTTATTGAGGGGTTGGGCTCTATGGGGAGTGGTGGGGATCTACTGGGGGGCTGCCAGCCCCAGTTGGGCTAAACCATCCCTGGTGGGGGTTGAGGGGAATGGGAAGTCCCAGGACTAGAAGGGGGAAGAGCCTCAGGAGACAGCATCCCTCACCGTAGAGACCTTTCCACATCCTGGTAATTAACATGGAGCTTCCCACGAAGGGACTCAGTGACCATCCATTGAGGGGTCCAGACAGCCCTATCCTGAAGGATCTGCTGCCAGAGCTGCTCCTGGGAGGAGGTAGATGCTTCCCAGGAGGGAGAGTTCTAGGTCACAACTTAAGGAGCAAGCTGGGCAGGGCTCCTCTGTGGCCTAAGTTTCTGACCCGAGAGGAAGGAGCTTATCTGTGGGGGTTCCTATCCTGCCGCTCCTGTATGCTTGGTGGGGTAGGAAGATGATTCTTAGGAAACCCCTGTAACTAACCTGGGGGTGGGGACACCTGAGTTCTACTGAACTTAGAGGTTCACCAGAAGGGAAATAATCTTAGAGGTGGAGAGAGTTGCTGGGGAGGTCCCTTCCCCCAACATCTCAGCCTGTCAGCTGGCCTTGGAGATGTAGCAGTGACCAAGGCCAACCTGCCAGAATTCAGTCTGATACAGGAGGAAGACAAGTAAAGAAGACAAGTGTAGAGGTCCTTGCAATACAGTGTGACAGGTGCTGTGAGGGAGAGCCCAAGGTACTGGGAGCAGAGGCAGCACTGCCCGTACATGATGGTGTGGGCCTTCCAGAGGGAATCACAACCCCAGAGCACAGTGATGGAGGACTGCACTCTGGCATCAGAAAAATCTGGGCTTGTGGTCCTGGCAAGCGACTTGCGGTTCTTTTGGTCTTTCCTGCCACAGTCCTAAGATGGTTGCCAAAACATGAAGCATTTTTTCTGTACTCTTGTTTGAGGAAAAATATCAAAGGGGTTGGATTTATTAATAAACACTTGGAACTTCTTTTTTTTAAGGTCACGCTTGTACATGGTAAAAATTCAAGCAGTACAAAAAGTTTATGTACAGCAGCATAAAGTTTCCTTACCCTCCAGACCCCAGGCCCTCCCCAGGGACAGCTACCATTAGTTTTCATTTTCTAGAGATAGTCTCTGTGTCTTCAAACGAGTAATATGTAGCCTCCCAAGAAAAGGAGAAAACTTTGCAGATGTTAATAACACATTTCAGTATAGCACAGGGAAATATATTCAAGATCTTGTAGTAGCTCACAGTGAAAAAGGATATGAAAACAAATATATGTATATTCATGTATGACTGAAAAATTGTGCTGCACACCAGAAACTGACACAACGTTGTAAAATGACTATAACTCAATTTAAAAAAAAACACATTTCAGTAGAGATACGGACTTTGTATTTTCAAGTAACATACAGCATTTTTAAGTTATGTCAAAGGGCAGAAATAAATGACTTGGTGTTTATACAGGCATTTATATGTAAAGTGAAACACATACTATATATATCCAATCGGATCAAACTATATACACTGTTCTCTACACTTTTTGTTTTTTAAAGCAAATGATACCCTTGAGATTGTTCCAAACAATGCAGAAAGACCTACCTCATTCTTTCCGACAATCTGAGATCCTGGAGGTGGGGTTGTTGGGCCAACAGGGGCTGCAATCTGATTTGCCAAACTGTCCTCATCAATTCTGCCCCATTTGCAAAGGTTGAAAAGGTCTGTTACCTCACATCAAGGCCAGTGTAGATATTTTCTGGCTTCCTCATCTTTCTTAATCTGACAGGTAAATTGCCACAGGGTTTTACTTTTTATTTATTTATGGATAAGTGTGAGCATCTTTTAAGCTTTTAACAGATCTTTTCAGCTTTACTCAAGTATAGTTGATATACAAAAATTGCACATATTTAAAATGTACATCTTAATGAGTGCATTTCTTTTTAAGACAGTTTTCAACATTTCCAATTTCTTCTGTGTATGTATTAAAAACATTTATTGCCTTTATAGGATCTTGGGACTGTGATCTGGCAAAACCTATTCAACATTAAACTTCACATGTCCTTTGCCCCATCTATCCAACTCCTGGTTATTTACCCTATAGAAATAACATAAGAGGTATATATTATATATGTGTGTATACCTACATATGTATGCACATACATACATATATTAGAGAATGCTTAGGTCCAATCTTGTTTGTGGGAATAGATCTGGAAGCAGCCTGAATACTCATCAATACAGGAATGCTTGAATAAATGTCACTGCCCTTAAGAATTGCAACTTTAAAAATGAGTGACATATATCAGGACTGAGTATCACTTCAGGCTCTGTGGAGAATGTTTTGGCACTATCAATAAAAAGGAAAATTCAACACGCCTTTTAACAAGCTATTTCACTTCTACAAATTTATCCTCGTGCACAAGTATCAAAAAGCATTATTAAAAAGAATATGAAAGCGAATATATGTATGTTCCTATATGATTGTGCTGTACACCAGAAATTGACACAACATTGTAAACTGACTATACTTCAATAAAAATGTTTTTTAAAAAAGAAATTCTTAAAAATGAAAAAAAAAGCGTTATTAAGTAAAAAAGTAGGGACCTCGCTCTCCGCTGTGTCCGAGCGCTTGGTCCTGCCCTCAATCCCGCCCTTAGGGCTTGTTACTGGCCCTGCCACGCCTTCTGGGTTTGGTCCTCGCCCCTGCCCCGCCCTCTGGGTCGCGTCCCCGCCTCGGCCACGCCTTCTGGGCGTGGTCTTCGCCTAACCACACCCCCTAGTCTCCTTCCCGCCCTTAACCCCACCCCGAGGCGACGAGTCTCCGCCCTAGCCACGCCTCTCGGGCTTGATCCCAGTCCACAGCTGCATCCTCGGTTCCACATTCAGATCCCGCGCTGATCTGGCGCCAGGGCTCAACCACGTCCCCGCAAGGGGAAAGCCGAAACTCTGCTGGCCGCAGGAAGCCGAAGCCACCGCCCCGCCCTCACTCTCATTTCCCCCTGCTTCCTAGGGCTTCCCCAGGACGAGTCCCGGAGTCCCTTTAGCCGGAAGCGGAAGTTCGTGTCGGTGGGATCATGGCGACTTTTGCCGACTTGCCGGACTCGGTCCTGTTGGAGATCTTCTCTTACCTCCCGGTCCGGGACCGGATCCGCATCTCCAGGTGCGGCCCCGCCCCGCGGGGGGGGAAGGGCCGGGCGGGGGGCGCACCCGGAGATGTAGATCTGGTCCCCGCGGGGCCACCAGGGTCGATCTAACGGCGGGTCCCCTCCCCCAGGGTCTGTCACCGCTGGAAGAGGCTGGTGGACGACCGA